CCCTCATCAAGTGAACACTAACTCCACCCCTTCAGGATAGGTAAATATATTAGGATTCCTTAAGTTTTAAATCCCTATAGAATTATATAAGTATCATTCTTTATGAAAATCCATAAGAACTAATATCTATGCTTGAGATTTTCTTTCAGTAATCATAAGACGGCTGCAGCTGAACATCGGTTGATAGTTAACTCTGCTTGCTGGAACTGTTTCCTGAAACTGTACTGCTTGAAGTTACCAGGAACCTGCTTTCATCAATCAAACAATTGTTGAACTGTATCGATGATTAATAGACCTGCCCTTAATCAAACCCTGAATGGTTTCTATTGTTAAAACTTTATGCATTGATAATTAGTACACGTAACCCCTCTCCCATTTACTTGCATGTATCGCATTTTCAATAAAAAGGCACGATGATTCCTAACAGTTGTCACTCCTCAGAGAGCAATCTCTGGGAGTGTCCGGCTGAGGACATGCATGAAAAGGCACCGAGACCTTAGTCTTCCTTTCTTTCCATCATCGCCTCCGTTGAGCCAACCCACCCCCGCCGAGGCTGGTCCCCGGCATTCCCTCTCCGTCTGTCTCTGTCTCTCTCTGGCAAGTGCATGTGCCCTATAGCAAAAACAAAAACAAAAACGAAATGAAAAGAGCACATTAAACCGTAGCTAGTGACAATGACGATGATATTTGCATTATGGCCTCAGAACTGGTGAGGCAAGTTGCCTTCCTGGTGCTGACGCCACCAGAGCCTTCACCTCTCCAGGAGCAGAGGGCAGACAGGGCCAGCTGGACCCTGGTGAACCTAGGGTGTGGGAGGAACATGCCTCAGCCTACATGCCTCACATAGCATGTTGCAGGTTTTAATACCACCACGCAATCTAACTTCTCTGACCAGCCCCAGCTACACGGACACCAGGCAGTTTCGGCTACATATGAGCCAGAACATCTGTACACGGTGAGGTCCCGTGGGAATTCTCTCCCCGTGTTCACCCCACCACAAAAGCACAGAAGTTCTTCTGTGCAAGTCTGAGAGAAATGAATTCATCACTAAATGTCCAGAAATCACAGCAGAGCCTCAAGAAACATGAAAAAAGCAGGAAATGCTTCCCCCAAAAGGAACACAATAAATTCCCATCAATAATGGACAAAATATAAGAAATCACAGAAATGTCAGAAAAATAATTCAGAGTATTTATCATAACTAAACACATTGAGATATGAGAAGTCAGACAAGCAATCTCAGGCAATGAGGAAGCCATTTTGTGACTTAAAGGAGGAACTCTATAAAATAAAGACACCCTGAAAAAGAATCAGATAGAACTTTTTTTTTCTTTTGAGAGACAGATTTTTGTTATGTTATGTGTACTCACCAGAGAGATAGAGAGACAGAAAGTGAGAAATCACCCCTGGGGTGGAGAGCCACACCACAATCCCTCATCCGGCATTCTC